GGTCAGGCTTCCTTCCTTTTTTCTCTCCTGTTCTAGAAGTAGGCCCAGAGAATGACTTTGCCCAGAACTGTCACTGTTCTCTAGTCTTCATGCTGTTCCTCACACAATGGCCCGATTTCTTCATTTGATGGCAGTCCTTTTCTCATCTGGTGGAATCATATCCCTAAGAGCCATTCCACCTGCTGTTCTGCCTGCTCCTCTGTACCTGTGCAGTTGGCAAACCAGCAGTCATCTCAGGCAAGATCCAGGGATCACCAAAAGCAAACAAGGAAGCCTGTCTTCCTTTTTTGTCAAAGTGTCATTAGGATGATGCCTCTGAGACTTCTTGGCCCTGCAGGATTACTGCAGAAGCTCAGCAGTTCTTAAAGCCTGACATCTTGGCAGCATCCTCTGGCAACAAAGCCCTTGGATCAGGGTAGAAGAGGTAAAATGAACAAGCAATTCTCTGTTTCGGTCAGGAGGCATGGTTCCTTGGTCTGCAGTGGGTTCTGTGGCCTCTTCACCATCTCCCAAGGCAATGGAGCTGGAGGACATTACTAAGGTACCATCTGCTTGTCAAGCAGTACCAATTTCCCCAACATGTTGAGGCAGCCCTGCAGCACTGTTGAAACTCTGGCAGTTTTGGTGCCAAAATAGCTCAGGCAGTAAAATCCATCCAGTACTAGTCAGCTGGCATTACAACCAACTACAGTCATCTGGTACAATCTCCCTGTTGCCACTAGTGCTTATCCAATCCTAGAGCAAGGGTGCTCAACTCCTGGCACTGTCATCTGGCCTGTTGGGCTCCCCATTAATTTGTGGGGAGCCCTGCAGGCTGTGGCACAGAACATGGCATAGTGTCTGATCCCGGTGTGTGAGGGCCATTCATCTGGCCTGTGTGGCTAAAACTGTGAGCACCACTGCTGTAGACCACTTGTTGCTGGGTTTTTTCCTTGTGCTCATCCAGATTTTACTAAGGTACATCTCTCCCTTGTTTAAGTCCAAGTGTAAATGCCAGCTATGCTTGACACCCAGACAAAGTATCCTCCTATCCACACTCTTCACTGCTCTACCTGTGTAGTTAGTCTGCCTTGCACTCTGAGCCTCCTGGGAAGTAAGTGTCAAATTTGAAAAGCAGAGGTATCTGCTCATACTGCAAAAATCTATACATGCGCTATCTGCCCCCAGATGGGATTTTGATCATGTGCTCAGGAGATGTGAACACTAGAGTACCTAGCCTGGTTTTTGCAAGACTGCTTGGTCTGTTTCTCTTTTGCATGGGCACAAACTGTTTTTGCCTGAGTTCTAGATATTGTAGCAAATGGATGTTCAAACCTTCCTTCCCCTATTTCTTTTCCAGGGTTCTTTCTATTACAAGAGAAGGTGTCTTTCCTCTGTGACCGGAGGCTGTAGAGAGGTTTCTCCACATCTCAAGGGTGGGGAGGTGTGTTACTCTGGGTACTTTCTGATTCCACATTACCTCCCTCTCCCTCAGTAAGATACTTTGCTTTGCAGCGGGCAGAATAAGGAGAAGAACATTTTTTCAGAGTTACAATTGTACAGAGCAGGGACAGAGTTTGATCCTTCAGCTCATTGACCCTCCCTTTTCTGCTTAAACAAAAGCTAAAACCCTACCTGCTGCTGAAGACTGGTCTCTCCGAGTGGATCTCTAATTTTGAAAAAAGCTAAAAAGTCTGCAAAGCTATGAAATAGGAGGAGGTGCGTCAGGAGTAGGCAAAAAACATCAATATTGCCAGAAAAAGGTTAGCTTTACTAGAACATCAAGAGCATTGAAAAGGAGATGGTCATTAACACTTGTAGGTTGAAGAACAATGAGCTATTAAGTCAATTGCCTCCCTCAGCTGCCCGGATAGTAATACCACTGCCGCTGCTGGGCAGTTGATTTTGGAGCAGGAATCAAAGCAGAGTGCTGCTATTCTGAACAGAAAATAAGCTTCTCTGTGTAAGATGAACATTCCAGTTTGGGGAAAGAGGTGCATGTAAGAAAATACTGTAGCCTTGGCCCTAAGAAAGCTCAGTGCTTTTATTTGCAAGCTCAAGTTCAAGATGGTCATGGCAGTACTAATGCCCTCCCTTATCGAAGGAACCGGCTTTCACCTATCAACTTGCAGAACACTTTTATAGTCTCGTTAACCTGAGATGATTGTGCCCAGTGTCTCCTTTTTGTGGTGGGTCAGGATCTTCATCAAATGGATATCAAACAGTCTTCAAAGGTAGTTACGTCGACAAGAAGGCCGGGCAAATTACAAACCCTTATGGCTGTTTCCTTCCTTTATACAGTCTAGCCAAATTAGGTGACCTTGAACCTACCTGAAATTCATCTGTCATGTATTTACTTTCACCAGAAGCAGCAACATCTACTTGTTGGATTGTATATGTGGGTGGGTGGTTTTCCTCATTGCATACAAGCTGAGGCTGTTACTGTTGCTTTACCAGAAAACTTTTTTCTTTCTTGAGAGTTTTGGGCAAGTGAGAATTTCAGATGTCTCTAATTCTTGACCTGGATCCAGAGCCAGTGGTCGTTTCACAGTTTTGCCATTCTCAGTCTTTTTCCTTGGTTTGTGGTGTCTGCTGACCCCCACACAAGGATGGATGGCTGGATGGACATAGGTAGGTAGATAGATAGATAGATATAGGCCTCCCCAAGAAGACCTGTCCATGCTCCCTGCTCACATATTCCTACATCAGTCTCAGGCTAGGAATCCTCAAGTAGTGGAAAAAGCTGAAGAGTGGCTTGAGCCACCCCTAGTTATAACCTGGGAACCCTCTGCAACTGGAGGTGTAAGTCACTTCAGAAGACACTGCTTTCCAGAAGATTTTGAAAGTGTTCATTGCAGGTGTCTTGGTCCCACAAGTAGGAATATGCAGAGACTCGTGTTCTGATTACAAATATAAAAACTTTCCCAGCTTCCAAATGCAATCAGCAGTAAGGTTCACCAGTACAGACTTCGACCACTTTTAATTAAGGGCTTAACTCTTTTTAATAGCTAAACTGTCATGGGAAGATCCAAATGTGATCATACACTTCAACTGGCAACAGAATGGTTTGCTGGACAGCAGTGTGGCTTTACGTTTAATCATTTTTTATTCCCAACTGAGCGTGTGTTCTGCTGGTTGGAGAGAGATCCTAGTACTGAGGTTTAGCACATTCATCCATAGTGGTCTTACAATGGTGTGTTTCCTGTATTAGAGCTGATGTCGTTCCAGTTTCTGCCCAAAGTGCTGGGTTTTGTTTGTTTGTTTAGGTTTTTTCTGCCCCGTTTTAGAACTTAACTGTCTTCAAGGAGAGGGATATGAGGCCCAGCTTTGTAATCAGAGTTGTTTGCTGACTGCTCTTTGTTTTGTGACCTCTGGAAGAAAAGACCCATCCATAGTTTGGGGGAACCCATTTCAGTGCACTGTTTCCATGACTGAAGGGCATTTTTGTGAAAAGAACATTTTCTTTCTTGATTTCTTTTCTCCTACCTCCACCCAAGGAAAAAAAAGTCTCTGGAACATTACTTATTATAATGATGCAGCAGAACAGGCAGCCTGTGTGAACGGAACACGTACCTGTTAAGGGTATGGGCACACATACAGTAAGTAGTCTGTGTATGTGGTATGGACCAATTTTAAAAGGGGACCTGCTGATCCCAAGTGGGCAGAAGCTGCTATTGTCTAACACTCAAGTTGTAGAGGATCTGAGAATGATACAAATGTAACTACTGCTCTAGCCAGGCTTAAAGTTGGAGCTGTTTTGCTGTCTCTATCATTCCAGGTTTGTCCACACTGTGAATGCAGCAGCTGTTGTGCAGTTCAAAGCAAGTCACCCCCCCAACCGTCCCCTCCTCTTTTTGAAACATTAGAAAGATGTGGATGTGGCCATACCGTAAAATGTGATGCTCTCAGGGGCATAGAGTTAAATGCAAGTTTTGTATCTTTGACAAGTCTCAGTTATTCCATTAAGTAGTTGTACGTTTTCTGTATAAGGCTTTTGGAATAAATATTTCCCTGAAGTGCTAAGCCCAACCATTGCTTGTACTAGGTTCATGACAGCCACTGTTTCTAGCTTCCTATTTAAAAAGTAAGGAGGAAATCATAAATGTAACAAAGTAAATATACTTTTAAGTCTGTATCATCTGCAGGCAGTAACTCCACGAGAACGTTCACTAATGTGGTTTTAAATTTACCCCTTTTATTTAACAAAAAAAAAAAAAAAAAGTGACAGGCTGTGAATAAGGCAAACTATTCAAGTAAAAACAGTTGCTCATGGCAGCATGACAGGAGATCCAGGGCTTGTTGGCATGATGGGATTTAGGTTGGAAATGTAACTGGTATAAATCCTTTTCCAGGATGTGATGGCAAAAAATTAGAGTTGGACAGTGGTTTAACAGTTGCCTATAATCACTTGAAATTCTTTTTGCTATTTCCAATTGACAGTTGATACAAAGTGGTGATTTTCTTGTTAATGAGTGTTAAGGAGTAGAAATCCCTTTCAAAGAAGTTGATGTGGTTTGAGGTAGCACATGGACCAAGAGAGGAAAATGGTGAAGTCAAGACAGTAAGGAAAGGCTTTGGAAAAGGATAGGGTTGTCTGTGTAGTCTGGTTTAAAACTGTTTTTAGAAATTCAGTGCCAAAAAACCCTGGCTACTTGCTGCTGCTCTCTGTGGAGTTCTTCTGAGGGTCATTTTCTGATAACATCTTAAAAACTCTTTGATTTTAATTCCTTTCAATATAATCCGGTGCTTAGCACAAGGGACCAGGGGTAAGAGTTCTGGTCACTGTTCCTAGTTTTCCCATCCAAATATATCCCACTTCTCCGCCCACATCAGGATACTCTTTGCCGTGGTTTCCCTCTCTCCAATTGTGTTCCACCTTATATTATAATATTTGATGTTTACATCCCAGGGTCTTGGGTTTTGCGAAGGGTTTTGTTCAATGTGGAGAGGAAATGAGACAGTAGCAAAGTGTAAAAGTTGGTGGTCTTTTTCTCAATAACTTTTGCCTCATGCTTTTTCAGATCTCTCGAATGGAATATGTGCATTCAAAGAACCTCATTTACCGAGATGTCAAGCCAGAAAACTTCCTTATTGGCCGGCAAGGCAATAAGAAAGAACATGTCATTCACATCATAGACTTTGGATTGGCGAAGGAGTATATTGATCCTGAAACCAAAAAACACATACCTTACAGGGAACACAAGAGCCTAACTGGAACCGCAAGATACATGTCCATCAATACGCATCTTGGCAAAGGTCCGTTCAGTTTATGCTAATTTACTGTACTTCTTACTGTTTGTAGCAAGTGCACTGTATTCTCCGACAGAGTTACAGCCATAGGTTGACCTACATCATTCCAGTACCATTTAGACCATCTCGCAACCATTCAGTTTGTACATTTGTGGCATTGCTGTCTTCAGAAAGGAGCTTTCTTTTTAGAAGCAAGATGGCTGGTATGTTGGAATTAGAAACCCCATTATGAGGGTCTTTTAAAACTGTAGGGGCAAAATGCTAAGGGATATTTGAAAGGGAACAATTCTGCAAAGGTAGGTTGAAGGACAAGGTTTTTATGTCCATATTTTGTGCAGCAATTGATGTTTTTTTCTGCACTGTTTTGAGAACTTAAGTGTGGCTTGGTACTGTCCAATTTCAGAGCTGTTGCTGACTCAGTCACTTTATATTGCTTTGCAGAAGGGAACAAATGCAGTTTCTAACTCTTTAGTTTCCCCTGGCATCCAGCTGCAGTGTTCAATACCTCCCGTCCCCCAGGTTAACAAGCCAAAGGCATTGCTCTTCAACCACAAAAAAACGAATCTCTCTCTGAGCCAGCCAAGTTTTTAAAGCTTGTTGGGGTGGCTGGCAACATGCTGAACTTGTTGGGTTAGCTGCTACATCTCCTGTACCAAATGCCAGCTAAAGGATGGGGGATTGGCTCAGGTTTCTAATACTATTAACAAAGCATCATTTGGCTTTCGGGGGTTGATTTTTCTTAATAAAATCAAAAGCAACTTTTTTTTTTTTTTTTTGAAGGTCTGTATGAATGGGGTTCTGTATTAAATATTTATATCCACTTAAGGTTTTTGGAAGAGTGGTTCAATAGGATATTCTTTGAGTGGCCTCTGCATTTTCAGTTGTGCGATCCAGGTGCTTCACGTCTGGAATATTCTAGAGACCTTGGGCCTCTCTGTCTTCACTCCCCTGCTTTTGTACCCTCAGAAAACCTATGCAAGGAGAGCCAGGAAGTGAGAAGGGATGAGCAGTCCCAATGAATGATTATTCTCTAGAAGTCCAGGAGCTGGTGGCACAAATGTCTTGATCCCACAGCTGGAATATGCACAGGGCAGTCAAACACCACTTATTAGGGAGCAATGCTTGTGTCTGTTGATAAACCACTGACTTCAGTAAGCAAGAACTGCATTTTGAGATTGTGAACAATTAGCTATGTCTTTTAGGGCTGTGCAAAGCTTTGGTCCCTGATTCGATTTAGCGGCCGAATCTCTGAATCCAAATCAAATCAGGAGCCCCTTTAATCTCTCTGAATCAGATCGGAGAGATTCAGAAAGATTTGGGCATAGACACAGCTTTAAATGTTTTTTTTTCTACATACTTCAAGGTACTAGGCGGCTTGTAAATGTTGTGATGCTGGGGCGCATGGAGCATCCCACAGGAGTGCGGGAGTCCTGTCCCCCTTGTGTGCTCAGTGGTGAACCCGGAAGTGGACCGGAAGTACTTTCAGACCTGCTGGGGAGCGTGCCGGGGCCCTCCCTCTCATGCCCCTGCCTGACTCATCAACTGGTGCCTCCTGGGTCTGGGGCGGGGGGCACATGGGGTCTCCCTGCAGCCAATCACCAGGCCAGCGGGGCACAGGTTCCTCCCCCTGCGCGCTCCCTGGCAGACCTGGAAGTGGACCGGAAGTACTTCTGGTCCAATTCCGGGTTTGCCAGGGAGCACACACGGGGAGCGGGGGGGTTGGGGGGGGGTGTGCGTGCGCTCCTGTGGGATGCTTCATCTGTCCCAGCATCGCAGCGTTCATGAGCTGTGCCTGATACTCGACGTATGTAGAAAAAACATTTAAAGCTGTGTCTATGGCTGAATCGCTGATTCACCAAATCGGCATCAAATCTTCAGATTCGGATTTAGACGAATCGAACCAGGGACAGTTATCCAAATCAACTAATGGAATGACTGTCCCTGATTTGGGCTGAATCTGAATTGAAATACAGCCCATTTCACGCACCCCTAATGCCTTTACAATTATTTGCATCTTTTCAGAGTCCTTTGAAGGATACTAGTGCTTATTTTTATCTTGAAATGATTACTTTAAGAGCTTGAATTTATTTTCAGTGCAGCTTTTTCTCACTTGCTTCTAGAGGCCTTGCTTTTGTAAAGTGGCTTGTTTCTGAGATGTCAGTTTTGAGAGGATGGCATGATCTTGTGTGAAGTGGAGAAATCCGCCCCCTAGTGCACAAATACATTTAAAAGCCATGAACAATGCGTTTCATGCAAGCCCTCCTTTACAGCAAGATGTAACAGTTAAGACTGTTGTAATCTTTGATGCTTTACAGGGCTCTGCAGTAAGGGTGGCGTTTTAGCAAGTTTGACCCAGACGCATTTTCCTCCTCTGTAAACGTGTGGTCCTAATCCCTAGATCAGCCTTGCTAACTTCAAACTGGTGGTTTAATGTGTACATTGTTTCTTTTAAGGACTGAAACAGAAAGCAGTTCTGTTTTGATTAGTTGCTTCTTGTTGATTAATATAGCCATATCTTAATTTAGTTGCTTTGAATTGAGTTGAACTCTGTCTCTTTACAGCTCTATCTTTGTCCTGTGCACTAGCTTCAGATCTGTCCTTCTCTTCTGCTCTCCCCACGTACTATTTGGAAAGCAGTTTCCAAAGCAAGTCATGCTGTGCAAAGCACTGCCTGTTCCTGTTCAGGCAAATTACAGGGTACTGGAGACAGCTGTTAACCATACTGTGGTCCAGCATGTGGGCTGGATGACTGACTGGGTCTGTTCCACATTAAGCTCCGAATGTGTGACCAGCCTGTAGGTGGAGGGGAGTCCCAATTTTGTAACTTGTGAGCAAAGCAGCCTTATCTGTACACCACATCCGTGACAAGATTTTGGAGATGTATTTTTCTGAAGTAATACAACATATAATGATTTCTAGTTTAACTTACCATATTTACTCTATTTTAAGACAAGGTCCCCCCCATTTAACATGGTGGGGGGAGACCCTTCATTTTAAAATAGAGTTGGACAGCCACTGGTTGATGGTGTGGGTTCTTCCCATGCTTCTGGGCTTTGCTGGTTGCCCCTGCCCCCATCTTTCTGCTACATGTATCAGGGTGTTTTTAATCCTTCCTCCGAGGCATTGGGTGTTGGCTGCGGGCAGGGCTGGGACCTGGATGGGTGTGCCAGTACGCCTGCTGGGACCAAAGGTTGAGGTTCTGGGCTAGTGGTTCTTGCCCCCCCCCCCAGGGTCTGAGTGATCGCTGTATTTGGAAGGAATTTTACTCTGTGGTTCAATTGGTATGGACGTGTGTGTGTGGGGGGGGGGGAGGGGCTCTATCCGGGATCTCCTGAGCATAGATTGACAACATTCCATAGAAGCAGGACATTGGCCGCTCTGGTTTCTTGGTTTTGCTTGTGGCAGGTTAGGGTGTTAGGTGTGTTGTGTCAGGGTTGACAGTGGCCTTACGTAGAGTTTAGATTGTGATTTGTATAGGATGGTTTGGGTAGAGATGATCCTGCCTCAGGCAGGGGGTTGGACTAGATGACCTCTGGAGGTCCCTTCCAGCCCTGTTTCTCTGAGTCTGAGTACGAGGGCAGTGGAGAAGGGAGGTAGCTGCTGTGGCTCAGGCACCAGCCCCTACCCAGGTTTGGGGCCATAGTTGCAGCTACTGCTAGTCCTCTTCCCTTCCCTGCCTTGCCTCTGCCCCCTACCTCTTCCCTCACCCCTCCACATGCAGCCCATTTCCCCCCACCCCCCTGCCCCTTCCTTTTCCTCTTGCTTCACAGTAGCAGGCTCTGTGCACATTGCAGCCTGAACATGCTCCCAGTCCAGCTCTGTAAGACTGGCACACAGCCCACATGGCTGCTCTGGGGATAGGTTGGGGCTATGCTCGGTGCCTCAGTTTAGAATGGGAATGGAGCCTGAGCCTGGGCATGGAGCAGAGGCTGCTTGACGTCTCCATACCACCTGCCTCCCCACTGCAGTAGTAGGGGGTATGAATTAAGCATGATCCTCCAATAAATGGATTCAGTACATGGAAAATTACAACAAATTTATAAATTTTCTATGTATAAAATCTAATTATTGGGGGTAGCCTTACATACAGGGTCATCTTAGATTCAAGTAAATATGTTAATATATTATCTCTTCTTGTGATCACACAAACCACATTCTCCCTCTGTCTCTCAACTGTAATTAGACAGTTAAATAGATTATCCCTGTGGCAACTGAAGCATATGCATTCAAGGAAATATGTTGAGGGAAAAACATGTTTTTTAATTGCTACAATGTAGTAAGCTATAGAAGCATTTGGGAAAAGTGCCAGTACCATGCGACTTGTGAACTCTGTAACTGCCCATTAGATATTTCAAGGTTTATTGGCAGCCTACAGAATAGTTTGGGAACAACCTTTTCTCTTACAGTATTAATACTTTAGCCCTTCATTATTATTGCAGTGACGAGCATTCTTTCATACTGTACAGGATGTCCCAAATTATGAACTTTCAGATAACCTGATTACCGCTAGTTGATGTCTCAGTGTTATATTTGCTTGCCATGGGGGATAGTATGAACTACAATATATGTTTTTGTACATACAGAGCTAGTAAGCCTTGTAGTAATAGTTTATTTAGAAAGAAAATTAGTTTTTGGACCAGTTTTATTTTGACGGCTACAGCAATATGTGATCTCTTATACCTTTCAGAGCAGAGTCGGCGTGATGACTTGGAAGCCCTTGGCCATATGTTCATGTATTTCCTTCGCGGCAGTCTGCCCTGGCAAGGACTGAAGGTATGTGCTAAAAATGTGTCAGCACATTTCACTCTAAGATTCACCTTGGGTTGAAATTTTCCATTCTTTGTCAGAACGTGAACTGTTTCCCAAAACGTGAATATACTAAATATATCCTTGAAAATGTTTCGTGGCAGGTGAGGAAAAATCTTGAAGTATCCCTGTAGTGAAAAATGGCCAGAGGCTGAAACTTGGCAAGAATGTGATACTTCCTTTGGGAAGATGGTTTAAGAATATTTGGATTTTGATATGACTAGTCTTTGAATATTCAGAAAGCTATACGTGTATGTGCATTAAGAAACTAAGTTTATCCTGTAACTGTCCCTGAGGGCTAGAATTGCTTATTTATGCAGCTCCGTTTCACTTTAATTTTTAAGCTTTTCTTCAGTACAATTTATCTGATCTGAAGTGTGCAATAGTTGACTGAAGAAACTCAAATCATCAGTCTGTAAGCTCCATCAAAGTATTTACAGAGCAAGTCATTAAACTAGCATTGCTAACAAACTTTAAATACTACAAGCCTACTTCTTTTAAAAAACAACCCCCGCCCCCACACGCACACAACCACACCTCTTATCTGTATACTTCCCACTGCCTTCTCTCACAAACTCCCCCCTTAGCTACTACCTTTCAAGGACTAGGCAGAAGATTTAATTCTTCTGTGTATTCCTCTTTGGGAAGTGCAGTCTCCAGCTGTTCGTTCTCTTTTTTTTGCCCCATGGATGAAAGAAAGGAGGAGTGTGCGACTATGCAGAGGCAACACCCTAGAAAAATGTTACTAGCAAACAACCTCTTCCTTTTCCAGTTTTACTCGGTGTACTTTGTATATAAGCACTTTCTCCAATTGTTGGTGAGTCTTTTGAAGAAAAGGGGGGGGGGAGGGGGAGTGTAAAGTAGGAAAATTAATTCAAAGCTACCAGAAATCAACAGGATAGTTCAAAGACGGTGTTTGAAACCTGGATTTTAAGCTCTCGTTTTAAAAAGGGACTAGACTTCAAACTGTCAGTGTGTGCATGGTGATGCATAAGGGGTGCACGTGCACCCCCTGAGACTGCCGGTGCACCCCGTCAGGTCGCCCACTCTGCTCAAGTGACAGGCGGGGGGGCAGGTGGGAGTGCCGGTGACCCCCCTGCGAGCCCTGGCCGGGGAGTGGGAGTACCGCAGCCACTTCCGGGAGCCCTGCGGCCGCTTCTTGGCTGGTGCGTTCAGCCATGGGGGAACCCCTCCCTGGTTGCTGGGTTGGCACATTTCCACCCCACCCCTTTGACTAAAGGGGCAGGTCCATTAGCAACACTAACTCACCTGCATCAGATTTGGATATTGTTTTGTGGTGATTCCCTTTGTGTTTGCATAACAATAGTTGTGATACTTTGCTGGAGCACTTTTGTCCAGTTTTGGGCCCCTCAATTCAAGAAGGATGTGGACAGTGCCGAGCAGTAAAAATGATTAGGGACCTGGGAGGCAAGACTTCTGATGAAAGCCTCAAAGAAGTAGGGTTATTAAAGTCTGGAGAAGACTGAAGGGGATTTGATAATAGTCTTCAGATACCTGAAAGGCAGTTGGAGAGAGGATGGAGAACAGGCTTTTCTCTGTGGCTGTAGAGGACAGGACTAGGAGCAGTGGCCTCAAGCTGCAGTAGAGGAAATACAAGTTGGAGAGTAGAAGGAACTTTGACTGTGTGTGGTCAAGCTTTGAAACAGGCCGCCTAGAGAAGTTGGGGAAATCTCCATTCTTGGAAGTTTTCAAGAGCAGGTTGGACAGACACTTGGCTGGGATGGGTTAGTTGGGGATGATCCTACTGGAGGAGGAGGCTGGACTAGATGACCTTTGTGAGGTTCCTTCCAGCTCTACTTTCCTATGGTCCTAATGTCAACCATCTTGCAAAGGTTGAAGCTGCAGCATTCCCTCCCACTGGGCTGCAGTGGTGGTTCCTGCCCAGAGTTGGCTGCAGCCCTGCACCCTGCTGCGGGCGCAGAAATCTCCAGGAGCACACTTATTGTGACCCCGTCGGCTGATGTTGCGACCCCTTTTGGGAACTGCTGGTTTACACATTCTGTAAATTCACACAATTGTACCAAAGAAATGACCTGACTTGCACGTTTCTCCTTCTAACAACTAAAGCCTCTTGAGGCCCCATACTGCTTTAGCGGTATTATGTAAAGCTGCTGAATTTATAGCAGCACAGAAAGAATACTGTTGTCCCAGTACAGCACCAGTACTGCCCATTTCCTGTGCTGCATTGAGGTGGCTGTGCTATTTCTGGTTTGGGGAGGGAAGGCTTGTGAACCAGAATAGTGTGGCTGGTTCTGTGCATCAGTTAACAGGTTCTACCTTTCAGTAACGCTTACTGGTGTTTGTGCAGTTATGTATTAATCTTGGTTGTGGTCCTGATTTTGGAGAGGGTGCACTTGAACTGGATATGGCCTATTTAAGATGCCTCCTAGCACCATACTGAAATGGGTTGTCTGTTTTTGGGATAAACCCCCAGCATTTTTTAAAGGTCTTTGGGATGCCAGGATTGTACTTTTCAAATCGCAACTTTTGGGAGCTTTAACAACCTCTTCAATTGTGTGTTTTGGGTAAGGCTCTAAAGAAGTGTTTATTCCGTGATCAGAAGTTGGAGGTTTTAATTTTGGGTTTTGGTGGTTCCTAATCATAAAACAGTATTGTATTTGCATTATTTTTCTTACTCCCTTAATTCATGAACTGGAAGTTTATCAGAAAGAGAAAAATGTTGTGGCCCTTGATGCATTATTTATGATGGAAATAAGGAGCCTCAGTGGTGCGGGATGATGGTGGCGGTGGGTTTTGTTGTCATCATCAGCACTACGTATTTTCTTTCTTTTCCAAAAATGTTTATGCATAGGTCTTGCTCAAGAAATAATGAGACTATCAAGTGTTTCTGCTGGGGAGACCTCGTGAAAGACTGGATGCCCAGTGATTTTGGTACTGTGAACCTCAGCTCTGAGGAGATGTTTTGTTAAACCCTTTGTACTACTGTTTTTAAGTTTGTGGTTCAAGTTGGGCTCTGAGGTATGCTGATGATGGTTTTGGTGTAAGGCATTGGTTAGATAAAATGTATTTTGGATAGGCTTTCTAAAAACAGTGCAAACTCCTGATTTGAATAATGCTGCCGCCTCTTTTATTTGGGGCTTGGGAAAACTGCAATTCAATTCTGTGTCTTCAGATCTTTCTTTCCCACTATAGTTCTCCAAAGAGCCCTCAGTGAGAAAAAGGGCAGTAAAAGCCCAGTATTAAATACATGTCAAAATGCACAAAACATAAAGCTTTAGAAATAATGAAGCAATACAAATGTTTAGTTGTTTTTCTGTACTTGACATTAACAGTGATTGTTGTTAAATTTGTTAGTGCTTAATAGGTTGGTATTGGTTTCCTTGCCTTCTGAATTTGTAACAATTGCCTTGACAAATCAGCGAATTTTCATATGGTGCACTTATTTCTGCACAATACTAGTATTTCAGTCCTTCCTTTTTAGGATCTGTTTGACTTTGTCATTGTCTGCAATCTCCATTATATCATTTCTGTATAATCTAGAATACTAAACTTCCTTTTTCTGTCTCAGAATGTTAAAATTGATTACTCTCGGAGGCTCGGATGTTCAGTTGTATTCAGCTTAATGAAGAAATGCCAGGTGTATTAAGATATTCATAATACTTTTGTCTGAACATGAGGAGGAGTCGGCAACAGTCACTTAGAGGCTGAATCGCTTTCAAACCGCTTAAGATATTTTGCAAATACAGATCCTGCAAATTCCTTCCCTTGAGAGTGGGCAGAAGGCAGTGCAGGATGGCACCTTAGAGCAATGGTACTCAACCTCTTTAGACTTGAGGCATCTCTCATTAGACTAAAGGCACCTCTCAGACAATGCTGGCTCTTAGTTTTCACTCCTTATTTGATAACAGAAAAATAATAGGGTAGTTGTGTTGCAAACAACTTGGACCATAACAGATAAGAATGGTTTTGACGCTATGGGTTTCTGTTTGAAATCTCTGGGTTTATCTTATGAATCATGTTTGTACACCTAATGGTGCCAGCATTGCGGGACATCCCATGGCATCTCAAGGCACCCCAGACTGCCATAGCATGCTAGTTGAGAAGCACTGCCTTGGACTAACTGGTTCAGAGTGGGGAGGCATGTTGTGATGTAACCGTTGGGGCAATAAACTCAGAGGAATGAGCAGTTAGGCAGCCAAGTGGTGTTTTGTGTACTACTGTGTAGATAGATGCTTGTTAGTTTTGGGAGGAATTGTGAACAATTTTTTAAGAGCTTTGATTACCAGCTTACCCATTCTTCAGGCGTATATCTATTGATCTGGGGCATGTGACGAGATCTATGATTTTACTTGAGCATTTCAGTAGTTTAGAATCAATAAGTGAATTGACTTGCTAGATAGAGGAGGGTGGTGATTTCTTCAGCAACATAGCTTGACATCTGTCTCTATCCTTAAAAATGCCAGGCTTACTAGTTTGTAAAACATCAGGTAACTTCAGCATGACTTCATTGGGTATGTGCTAAATACATCTATTGGAGAGAACTTGTTCTAGCCCAGAAAGGGGTTGCGCTATGCAGATGAGATGTGAAATGATGAGAAGCTGCCTCAGATGGAAGACCTGAACTTTTCAAGGAAGTGGGGAGGAGTGGTCCTTTGCCTTCCTCTACTCCTTTGCCTGCAGGCCACAAACGTGTATATTCTTTGATTTCACTGGAAATAACGTGAAGTGTTACTTCTGTTTTCATGTTTTTGGATTTCTGCAGCTGAGACTTTTTTCCCCTCAGCACTTAAAATCTTGAGGAAAACTTTTTGTGCTGTCAAAGGTAGAAACCTTTAACAGCAGTTGTTCATAAAAAGAGTGTTTTAAATAATTCCTGAGAAACTGCTGGTTCTGAGGAGAGGCCCTGAAATGCAGCCTGAGCATCTTTAGTTACTAAGGTAGTGCCTGAAGTGGCATTCACTGCTTCCGGAGGGATGTGATCAGGAAACCATGAGCGTGATGCTGCTTCATCTTTTCCAACAACCAGCTGTCTAGTCAATGTTGACTAGATGGCAGAGAAGTGTGAAGTTGGGGACAATTCATTTCACTGTAAAAAGTTTTGTGAAAACTGAATCTGATGCCTAACAAGGCTAACTGAGCATTGTTACTTTAGGGCTACGCAGCAGCATTTAATATATTGAGGTTGGGGGCTAATAGCCCTGTCTTGTAGCTTGTTTTTTATGTGATGATAAGAGAATGTGTTAGAGAGACTTAAGCATTATACCGTCACACTTAAGCAGCTCTTCCCTTTTAAGTCTTAGTTTAATTGTTTAATGGTATCACTAGATATCCTTTGCTTACAGCAAGAGTTGCATTGGAGCTAATACAGAAGGAACTATTCTTCATATTTTGTGTCTTCAAAGGGGGGGGGGAATATCCTCTCCTGATTTATGTTCTCAAGATGCCATATACAAAATGTCATTTTCCCTATACTGTCCTGTTGTTGGGTTTTTCTCTCAACAGTTATGTTTCCTGTTTGTGCCCCACAGGCTGACACTTTAAAAGAGAGGTATCAGAAGATTGGGGACACAAAGAGAAACACGCCAGTTGAAGTTCTCTGTGAGAACTTTCCAGGTAACTCCCTGCCGTGATTGTTATGTTGTCTGTGTGACCTGCCCGCTGGGAATTGGACAAACCGTCTGATGATAGCCATGAACATTTAGACCTGCTCTGTCGGAACGTATTTGAATGCTGTTTCTGTTCCTGTGCTCCGGTAGATGGCAGATACCTGTCACTGTAACTCAGCGTTACTCTTCAGTCGTTGCTTTACACTCGTTTTCCTTTGACTTTTAGATCAGGAAAGAATTTTACCCCACAGTCAGATTGGTATGGACTGCAGGGGGTTTTCCTTCTTCTTTGGATCTCCCAAGTATATTGTAACTTTTCACCCATGACAGTGCTCTTGTACTCCTGCTTTCCCTGTGGCCAATTAGGATGTCCTTGGGTTTTGAGGCAATATTCCTTGTAGCTGTGTGACAAGATTGCCTGTGTAATTTTAGGAATAGGTTAGATAAGCATTTGGATGGGGATGATCCTGCCTCGAGCAGGGGGTTGCATTAGATGACCTCTTGAGGTCCCTTTCAGTCCTACTTTATAATTGTACTTTGACATGGCTGCAGACTGCCCCATGTTGCTGCCTTTCCCCTCTGAAGGGGAATGCAGACAGCAGGTCCTCCTGGCCTTCTTTCCAGAGTGCACCACCCATTCACAATGACTGCTTCTGCTCAGTGGGGTTCATTCTCGTTTGGATCAGATAACTCGGCAGCAGTAAAAGACCTGAGCGGCCTGTTGCAACACCCTGTGGGTCTAATTTGTCAGCTGAGTGCAGTGTGCTAAGAACATAGTTTGGAGGATAATACCATCACAATACAACATGGTATTAACTCAGGCTGGCCACACACAATCTTGCTGCAGCTGAACAATAGCCCACATAGCCTTGCTGGAGAAGAGAAGCCCCAGAGGGTGACTCTCCCTTGATAGAGATTTGCTGGGACTGAGAGGTGTGATTTGGAAGCATTGGAAATCCCAGGCCATTTTCACTTTACTGTCAACACCACAGCTCCTATAGGAACAAGACTGCTGGCGGATGGCTTCTCACTATGAAGAGTAGCAGGAGGAGGAAGTTACTATTGGCTGAAGTAGCACGAACTTCCCAGCAGCATTTGGATGGCAAATCCACCTTTTTCCACAGTGGCTCCCTTGTGTCCTCTTCTGTCTTCTCTAGAGGCCCAGAGCTCCTGTGACACATGGAGCCCTGGACTGAGGGGAGCACACAGTGGGAGCTGCTTATTGACAAGGGTAGCATGTGTGGCCCCAGAGCAGCAACAAGAGGCAGTCACATCTTTTTCCCTTATCCCTTTTACCTTGGCAAATGTGCTCTTTGAAGCTAGTATGGACCATTTTAATACTAAACAAGTAGAGGCATTTACGCTTTTCCTAGAGGCAAAATGCCTGAACCATGCTGATGTTACATTGGTACTGCAGTAACACTTAAGAGTGTCAAGTTTTGTGGTAGGCACTGGATAGACAAAACAGATGATCCTGACCTTGAAATGGGTAAAATTTCAGCATAAATGTAAAGGAGGCCAGAGACTGAAGTTATGGATTCTCCTCATAGCTAATTTCTCAGTGCAGATAAAATCGTGTATAGCTCTGGATTAACAGTTAACTGGGTCTAGTAATCAAAATTATCTGGCATGAAGTAGGTTTGTTAATGTGACTTGAGCCTGTTTTGAAGACTGTCTGGCTTGTCATGCCTAATAAAACAGTGCCATCTTTCTATGTACAGTACATTGGCTGGGCTCAAGGAGGGCATATTGACGTTTTCATTACTGCTGCATCGCTTTAGTTTGACAGTCAGGAAGCCCATTAACGTTGCATTAACATTAACAATGCTGTGTGTGTGTGTGTGTGTGTGTGTGTGTGCGCGCGCGCGCGTGCTGGGCAAGGAACATCTTTCTATTTGTACCGTACCTAGCATGATGTAGTCCTGCTCTGTGATCGGACTTCCTTGATCCTAATGCAATATAAATATAGAATAAATCTCCCCACCCCTGCCCTGGTAATAGAGCTATTAACTGATTGTGTGCCTATGGGGCACTGATGGGAGAGCTGCAACAGCAGTGCAGTGACTTGGATGAAATACTGCTGAGCCTTGTTTAGGATGCTTGAAGTAATTATGTGCCTGTCATCTCTCATAGACTTAAAATCCTGTTGGGATTTAAAATGACTTGATGAATTTTGTTTAAAAATCATAATTTTAAATAAAAGTATATACAATAGTTTATGTACTTGAATTAAAAATGAAGTCCTCCCAGGAAGACAGTAGGAGTCTAGAGCAGGTTTGATGCTTCAGTTTCAAATAATTAGTATAGAATACAATTTAAAATGTTATGATAAAAAAAAAAAATAGGTAGGATTGGGTAAGGCAGTCAAGGCACTTCTTTTATGGTGTGTTCCTTTGAAATGTCAAATCTAAAGTGGGGTCTGTTTTGGAATAAAAACCTCAACTCATTAAACATTAAAAGACTTTGTAATGGAAGGAATATCTTGCTAGATTTTTTGGGGAAGGTTCAGGCATGCCCTGGAGACTGCTGTGGGAACAAACAGCAAAAAGCATGGTATTAGATGGGCAGACTTGGTAAGGTGGTGAATACTGCTGTGTACTGCCTTGTCAGAGACCTGCATTTGATATGCATATCTTCAACATAAATCATTATGGCTCAGTGGAGCTGTGACAGTTTATACTAGCTGAGCACCTGGCTATGTCCTGCAAAGGGAAAGCGGGGTGAGATTATATGCCATCATTCAACAGATACTGTATTCCTTTTGCATAAGTGAACACTGGGGAGTGGCTCTCTGGGAAGCCCTGTAGGTCTGAAGGAATGATTTATTAGCATATTAAGTGGGAGGAAACAACAAGCTGCTTCGTGGCCCCTTTGTTAGCACTGGACTAGCACTGCTCCTTTTCCTTTTGTATAGAGAAGATGTCACACATGTTTGAGCAGGTGAGACTTGCGTATATTGATTAATGTAGGGGTGTCAGGCGTATGGTCTGCAGGCCAGATGTGGCTCGTGGCGTTGCTCTTTCTGACCTGCTGGGCTACAAGTAAGCAACTAGAAGTTTGGGGCTGCAGTCAAGGAGAGTACCCTCCTGCAGAACCTGGGGCCTGTGGGTCCAGGGGATGTGGTGATTGGTGGCAGTGCAAACATGGACTGATACAGCCCTTGTCACCCTGAAGCTGCTTCGCCTGTTGCTACCACCACCACCGTGCTTTCCCTGCCTTCACTGCTGTATGTCTTGGGCCAGAGCCAGAGCAACGGCCATGTGCTGCAGGGCATAGCTGCTCTGCAAGGAGCCCTGCAGTGTGTATCCAGCTCAATGTATAAAGTGAGTTTGATATCCCTGGTTTAACTTGTGTATGTACTATGCCCCAAGCAGTGATTCTGTTCAAGATGCACTTCCTGTCATTACTGCTGAAGACTGGAGAGCCAAATTTGCCCAGTGTTCTGGGGAGGCCATATGGAGGTTCTTGAGGGCTGAACTCCTCCAAAAGTTTGTCATCCCCATTTTACACGACAAGATTGTTTAATCCACACATACAACTGATGTGGATAGGAAGCAATTTTGCTGTGTGCTGCTTTTTGTTATCTGGACAAGGATATTGATGCTGTTTCTTTCCCCTTCCCCCCCCTCCTTTTTCAACAGAGGAGATGGCTACATACCTTCGTTATGTCAGGCGATTAGACTTCTTTGAAAGACCGGACTACGATTATTTAAGAAACATCTTCACAGACCTATTTGAAAAGAAAGGCTACACATTTGATTATGCCTATGACTGGGTTGGCAGGCCAATTGTAAGTGTTGCTTGCAAAAAAACCCCTATTCTGTTTTTCCAAGAAAATAGCTCTCTGCATTCTTGGCTGCACTTGCTGCAGTTGACTCCTTTCACACTAGTGGTAGGTACAGCAAGTAACCTGTGCATCCAGACTTAACAGTTCCATCTATAGGTAAGATGGTCTCTACCAATGTATCACATGGATTGCAGTTTTACTGAATTGTTCCTTGGATTATTCAAAATGACCATGATTTCCCAAGTAGTTAAGATTAAATATTCTAGCCAACAGTCTGGATGATAATCTGAGTGATGTACCGTAGATGGGTAATGAAATGCCTCAGGCTATGGATGTACAATTTACCACCTCCCTCTACCAGGTGGCTATTTCATTGCGCAGTAGCTGTTCAATAACCACCAGTCTGTGTGCTCTTTATTCCATGGTAAATGGAAAATAAACCAAGTTGGTATCTTACCCTTCATCTACTGATGGGTAATAGTGTGCATATGGGAACTTTAAAATGGAACAGCTGACAATGTTATCCTACACCTTGTGTTAAGGTGTTTTTTGGGCTGTACCTCTGTGTAGTGAGGTGACTTTCTTTAAGAAATCGAATAGGCTCACTATCTCTGTCATCAGCATATTGTCAGGGAAAAATAGGCATAATAATAAGTGTTGGGAATGTTCTTCATCTCTTGGAGCTGATCAAGATCTTTCCCCTTCCTGATTCCCTTTTAACTCCTCCCTCTTTAATTTTGTGTCAAGATTCATAGGTTCTTTGCAATGCCTGGGTAGCACCTAAATAATGCAGAGTGCATTATTCTCTCATGCATGTGCGCTCTCTCGTGCTGACCATGCTGCAGTGAGGCAGTCTCGCATGATTTTTATCCATATGGCAATGCAAGTCACTACCAGGGGAACAGAACAGCTGGCATATTTAACACAATGATGTGCATATTAAAATGATCTATGGAAGCTGCTGGTGTGGCAGCACTTCATTGTACATGATGTCACAAATAATTACTGTATCTTAGATTGTTTGGCAAATCTGGTTTTTAAATTTGAATGTTGCCAGCAAAATCCTTCTCAATCAGACCTGGATACATTTAGGGTTCCATCCCTCATGGCCTGTTTGTCCCCTGACAATCTAACTAGTTACATGTACCCATGTGTTAGCAATAATTAGATTGCAGCTTTTTAGTAGGGTTCATGTAAATGCTAATAAGCTTTAGCAACAAGAAAAATCTTTCCCGTTTATAGAACAATGAGAAATCCTAGTTTAGAAGTAAATCCACCTGATTGGGCCAGAGAGAGCCTTGCCCACTCTGTAGCTTGGTGATTCAGGCATTC